GCGACAACAAAAACACTTGCCCACTACCGAAACAATGTATGACCAACAACATTATTTACAAAGCCACAGTGACAACGAACAACACGAACGACACTGAACACTACGTTGGTATGACAGCGACTACATTTAAGACACTGAACACTACGTTGGTATGACAGCGACTACATTTAAGGACACAACATAACACAACATATAACACCACACTTCATCTTTTCGTCATAAAAAAGACTCAAACAAAACAGAACTTTCGAAACATATTTGGAAACTATAAAGAAAACAATCGGGATTATACCATCAAATGGTCAATTTAAAAACACGCTATTTCGTACACAGGGGGGTCAAAACGCTGCAATTTATGTTTAGAAGAAAAATTTTGCATTTTGAAAAACAAAACAAAGACAATTTACTCAATAAAAGATGCGAAATTTTCGGCAAATGTCGTCAGAAAAACCGGTTTCGAGTAAACAAGGTCGTTAACAAAACCTAATGACCCAAGCATGCATTGTTTCGCCAAAGCATTGTTTCGCCTACACGCATTCCGCACATTCTTTCGATAGCATAAAAGCAACCTACAATTTCGAAATTACTCACCATCTGATGATTCCTATACGGATGAAACAGACTGTTGTGTTTTTTTGAGTTTTGAGGTAAAACGAAAAACTATATATATATATATATATATATATATATATATATATATATATATATATATATATATATATATATATATATATATATATATATATATATATATATATATATATATATATATATATACTGTATATATATATATATATATATATATATATATATATATATATATAACACGAGTGTGTATTTCATAATTTCCATACCCAGCGCAAGCAGAATTGAAATATATTGTCTGCCGATATACAAAATCTTTCTGCTTGCGCTGTGTATGGCTGAAATTATGAAATATACACACTCGAGAACATTTTCTACTTATCATATTACGGAGTGAACAATAACACAACATAACATAACACTTGCAGAACTAGTATGGTTCGATGCTGAATTAATATAAACGAGTAAGTTTATGACATTCTGTATATAGTTCATAATTTCCAGTCTTAAATCCGTCTGACCGTGTAGCTCAGTTGGTAGAGTGTCGATCTAGTAATTCGAAGGTCGCGGGTTCAAGACCCAGCAGCGGCAGACAATATCTTTCTGTATTACGCTCCTTCACTTCGGTGTTGTTCAGCACTCTGCGGAGTTGTTAATGGGTGACTATTAGCGATAATGCAAAGCTCACTTCCCTTGTGGTTGTTTGAGCACTCTGGCCCCATTACGCTCTGCGCATGTCTGGTTAAAAGAGTTACTGATTAAAACAGTTACTGATTTTTTATCAGTTTAAAAATAAAGTGTAAAATTAATTGACGAATCAAGAGCTAATTGCCATGAAATCCAATGTCTCAACTTCATAAAATATTATTCATCGACGTTGCATGTTTCATTTCAGCCATATTGGACGTTTATTATTCGAAAATACACGGTGATCGTCCACAAATTCGCATAAGCGCACAAAAACATAATACAATTAATTATTCAGACCATCATATTTTGATAGACTATCGCCCGTATTCTAAAAGCTCACTCACACTCACACTCACACTCACACTCAATGAGTGGAGGTTCAATCTGAGCTTTTCTTGAGTGTCAATGCTGTTTTTGAATAGCTGGAGGGTGAGTAGTCACATAGTAAGGTACGACACTAACCCTCCAGCTATTTTATAAACAGCAATGACACTCGAGAGAAGCTCAGATTGAACATCCACTCATTGAGTGTGAGTGTGAGTGAGCTTTTAGAATACGGGCGCGTATGATCCCAATAGATTCGATTTTTCTTTAGTGGTTTGAATAGACTCGATTTTTTTTTAGTGGACAGGAAACAATAGCTTGCAATACAGGCTGCAGTAAATGTGTCCTGTAGATCAACACTTCGCCGACCTTCTACAATTTTATCGTGAGCATTCACTAGCAATTTCTGGAAGCAAGAATATTTCGCCTATAATTTACCTACCTTTCGCAGCTTTTTCAAAGAATAAGGAACGTCACCAACCCAACAGTAATTACAGTTAGGACAAGAGTGCGAAGCGTTCTTATATCGAAGGATGATAGTTTGAAGAATAGATGCAAAAGGTGTCACACCAATCCCACTTGATATGAGTACAGCATGCTCTGCTTCGGTGAAATGTGTAGCTGGAGCTCCGTATGGACCATCAACGTATATCTAAATAGAAGATATATTTCGCCCAGATAAGGAAAAAATACGCAATACTGAAACGTTTCTGATTGGTCGCCAGAAAATTGTTTGATCTGACACTGCCAACTTGCCACGGGTATGACATTCAATTTGTTGGGTATTTTCAGTTCCGTCTTCAAATTAACTTGCTCTCCTCTTTACATTTTAAGTTTTTTTTCTTAAGTTAAACAGGGTAATTTAGGAAACTATAGAAAACAGTTCATGTTTTACGCGAAAAGCTAAAAGCAAAGCAACAAAATTCATACACATTAAACATTCAAAACAAAGTCGCCCTATTTTTCGATTTCCCATAGTAAATTGATTCCCTCATTTCTTCAAACAAAAATTGCTTCAAAGCTCGTTGTATATGAAACAGTTTTCCAAATATATGGCTGTCAAAATTGAAATCTTGATTATACTACTCCTGGCAAGCAGCCTTATTTTTGAGAACAGTGATGACGTCCACCCATACACCATGAACCTTGATTAAACTTCGCTAATGCTTTCCTTTCCCTGGTGTAAATAGCCGGGCGGAATTACTACCCTCGTCCCGGGCGTACGCCCGAATCAGCGCTCCGCGCCGTTGGCTCGGGTATCATTGATTTTCGACATGTCTCATTTTCTTGCTGGGGCCGGTTGTTCGAAAGCAGGTCAGCTTATTCCTGGTTAAAGAAAATTTTCAAAGCAAATTTCTCTTTCAGTGTAAGACTGCAGTTTATATGCTGACTAGTCACAAGTTCTCGTACTTATAACAGGTAGCCGCTTATGGCACATTAGCATTTTCATTATTGATATAGGTAACAATATGACATAGTCTTTGAAACTTTTAGATTGAGTAGATTAGGTAGAGATTAATTTTGATTTTAACAACGTTAGATATACAACTTACTTCGAGCTTGTTGGTCCCGTTTCTCCACAATGATTGACGTCTTTCGTTTTGCTGCAGTAATCGATTTTCTACATTATTGCTCCTACTGAGAACAACAGTTTCTTTTTCTTCAGAAATGGTTTGTTCGTTTTCGATGACGACTTCGGACAAACCGTCCACAGACTCGTTGTTGTTGGGATCAATCTCTTCTTCGCGTTCTTCCTCTACCTTTTCCATGATAGCACGCACTCCATCTCGCTTGATACTCGTCGTATAACGTTGAAGTATTGACCGTTGTGTTTGCCTGAGTTGTGGAGAGGAAAAAATTTACGAGGATTGTGATTGCCAAAGTCGTAATCGTTAATGATACTAAATACACCTATACTAGAAATACATACATGCAGCAATGCCTCGCCTGTATTTTCAAAACATTGATTTAACAGGAAATATATATTAGTAATTGGTCAACACTGAACGCATGCATGCTCGCATTTACGTCAGTGTTACCATGGCAACACCATAATTTTAATTTATATATATATTTTTTGTACAACACTCCAAAAATAGTGGAAAGATTATTGCTTTTAACCACATAACAATCAATTTCCAAAATATGCACTGTAGGTATGTTATTTTGCATTTTGTGTGCTTTGATTTAATGCAAAATTTAATCTGAATCGCTTCGTAAAATGTTCAGCCTCGTACCAGGGTCTTTCCTAGTGGCGAGAAAAGACCCTGGTAGACGCTGGTCACGCAACCTGCTAAAATTTGGCAGATCATTAATTAGAAATCCAAGACGAGGTCAATAAATATTTGATATTTGGATGATTTTCATAGTTTAATTTATAATTTATATTTTGCATTTTTTATGATTGTCGTAAGGGAATCCAATATAGTTAATTAGAAATCTTCTAGATTTTAGCAGATCACGTGACCAGCGTCTAACAGGATCTTTTCTCCCCTGAGTACGAGGTTTTAAAATATTTTGATATATTCATTTTAATAACTAAACTGCTTTTTCCGCGATAAAGTATTTTTACTTAATAAACCAAAATAAGTTCAAATTGTTCAGAAATTTCATTTAGGTCCTCAAATTAATTTGCTCCCCTTTACATCTTACCTCTTTTTTTTTAATTAACAGGGTTATTTAGGAATCTTATACGGCTTCATTGGAAAGGAAAAGGAAAGCAGTGCATGTCTTACGCATTAAATTAAAGAAACAATTCATAAACATTAAACATTGAAAGCAAGCTTGCCCTATATTTCACGATTTCCATGCATAGTAAATCAATTCTTCTCATTTCTTCAAACAAAAATTGCTTCAAAGCTCATTGTGTGAAACGTGATTTTCCAAATATATGCTTTTGAAAATTGAAATCGTGCCTATCCAGTTACCCCATGCACTCCTGGCAAACAGCCATATTTTTTAGATCAGTGGAAGTCCACCCATGAACCATTGTTACGCGCCCTCGAATCGGAGAATATATTAAATATTTGCGGATTTGAGCTACAATCCTGGTCACAACCATCATCGACACCCTGTTAAATCGTTCCTCTGTGGATCACAACCATCTGGTCACATGGATCATCGACACCCTGTTAAATCATTCCTCTGTGGATTTTTTACTACCTCCCCTCATTCCTCTGTGGATTTTTTACTCCCTCTTTCATCGCTCCGGGCTTATATACGCCTAGAACGGTGCTCTACGCCGTTGGCTCGGGGAATATATTAAATATTTTTAGTTGCGATATATGGGTCAAACGCGTATTGCAGCTTTGGACAACGCATTTTCCTTGTAGGGTGAGAGAGGTTCCATTGCAGGCCGACAGATTGGTTGATTTCGCTTTGAATTGTGAGCGAAGATTTAACTTTCAAGGTTTCTTGAAAATCAAGATTTCATTGGGTTCTGTCGCAACAACGCTCTGTAGAAGAAGATTACTTTCAGAAGACGATTCAAACGAAGCACTATTTTGGGGGCATCTGCTTAAATCACGTTTTCATTAATTAAAGCACCTGACAAATTAAAGTAATTTTTGCGTTGGCATTTGTTGCACGTTTGATTATATGCCGGGCATTTTCCACATTGTTGTCGACTTGCACAAAATTTTCAGTTCGGAATTAATTGGCGATTGTTTCAAACTTCTTGTGTTTCAAACTTTTCTCTTTGTCTCTCGCTTTTGCGTGCAAACTTTCTTTTCCGTATCCTCAGTGAGTTGCTAGGCATGTAATTTGGTTTGCTCAGAGGCTTGACCAAGCTCTATTGCTTTTTGTAGATTGATGTTAGACTCGCGACGCATTCTTTCGGGAAGATTATCATCTAAGACACCAAAATGATCATATCTTTAATGAGCGAATCTTTCAGAGCATCGAATTCACACGCTGCACTACGTTTCTTCAGTTCGGTAACAAAGCTCGTAAAAGTCTGTCCTTCTTAATTGCTGGCGGTATGTGAAAAACTTATGTCTCTCAAAGGTAGTATTGCTACGAGGGTTACAGTACTCCTCAAACTTCTTAAAAACCGGTTTTAGCTTGAGTTTATCGGCGCGGCTGTATTTTCAAACTCAAAAGCGCGGCCTTTTTCGCCTATTCAAATTAAAAGTATTAAAGTTGTTACTTTTTCAGACTTGGAATCCGACTCTGTAGCAATTAGGAAAAAATCTAAGGCCTAGGCCTCTTGCCATTGTTTCCACGTCTCGGGAAGATTACCTTCGAAGGAGAAAGGAGACGGAGGTGACAGGCCAACTTAACTATTCGCTCAGCCATATAGGTTCGTCGAATATTCGTCTTGAATAGTCAACTTTGTTGTGTAAATTTTTCGTTCAATCAGTTCTCAAAAGTATTACTGAATCTCCAGAATCAAAAATCCCACTTCTTACATCATGCAAAGTTTTTTATTTGATGCTTACTATGTGATATTTACTGTAGAACATATATAATATATATATATATATATATATATATATATATATATATATATATATATATATATATATATATATATATATATATATATATATATATGAGCGTGATATAGTTTTTTGTTTTACCTCAAAAACCACAACAGTCTGTATGATTCCCACACGGATGAAACAGACTGTTGTGGTTTTTTGAGGTAAAACGAATATATATATATATATATATATATATATATATATATATATATATATATATATATATATATATATATATATATATATGCAATACTTATCATGTATCTTCAAGTTAGCGCTTTCATTGGAGTAGCATAGACAACCCGCTTCCGCTTCTTTCACGCCATTAAATAAACCTGATAAAACTAATATTTGACTATTTAATGGCAATTAAAACACCAACAATACCTTTCTTTATCATTGATACTCTTGGCTTTTGCCTGTCTTATTGTCGCTCGTTTAACTGACTTTCGCGTGCACTCTTCCTCTTCTTTATCTTCATAGTAGTCATACAATTTCTTCGTCCATGTCCCTACTCCACGGATATGAAGCCAAAAGTAGCCCGTCAAATCTGGTGAGCTGCTAATCGTAAATGGATGCCATTCGTATTTTGCAATTTGCGGTATATTGACTATCACGTAATCACCAGGGTTGTATTGGAAAGTCGGGGGTCGCTTGATTACCAAATGTATTACCTATGAAAAAACAACAAAGGCTATGTATATACGGCAAATCCGGTTTGCAGGCAGCTCACTTGAGTGGGATAAGTGCTTTTTGTGTTCATATTATGACTGTCTTTATCCCACATAATAATATGCATAAAACTATGTTACTCGACTATGATTAATTGATTTCAATGCGGTTTTTCTCAAACAGCAGTGCAAAAATCTGTAATTAGGGGAGCACTGGAACTCAGTTCCGGCCTGTTAGTTGCGGCCGAAACCCCGATTTTTCAGATGTCCAGTTAGTAATAAAAAAGCATGGCCGGAACCGGAACTCTGTCGTTTTCAGAGAGACCAAACGTTTTTGTGTCTAACAAGAAGTTCACAGTAGGAAGAAATTTGGACTACACAAGGAAAAAGTACACTATTAGCACTTTATTATGACATTTAACGTTTGTCAATCTTTTTGTTCTAACATTTGCGAGCTCTCTCCTTGAAGTCTCTGCCTGTCTGGCAGCAGACAAAGTAACATATAACTAGTATATGGCAGTTCCGGTTCCGGCTGGAAATTTTTTCCAATTGCAGCCGGATCCGGTTCAGGCCGGAACTTAAAAAATTGGTTCTGGTGCATCCCTGTCTGTAACAACAGTGCAAAAATCTCTAACAAACTGATCTGATTGGTGGAAAAATAATGGGACCTAAAATCAATGCGAAGTTTTCAAACCGTTAACGTTGTATAATTTGATGTAACAAAGCAAGAAAACTTTGTTAGTGGATGGTTCGCTGTAAACGTTAGTTAAAACTACAATTGTTTCGTACATTTTTATTATTATTATTATTTTTTTTGTACATTATTAATCCGTAATAGGATAGTTTCTCGTGAAATTTGGGTAAAACAAGCGCTCTTGAGGTTTTCATAAACCTCAAATTTTTTTGCTCTTTGAAAAACTCACTCGTGCATGTTTTATCCAAATTTCCCTCGAAACCATCCTATTACCTGTACTAATATCCAGCCTCGGTTGGAAGACATTATGTAAACATGGCGTATTCGTAATATTTTTTCTTACTACTACACATTCAATGTATTTATCTAGGTCTATTAAAGTTTATTTTTATTTGTATTTTCCAACTATGCCATTCAATACTATATTATAGGTCATAATCGGTACTATATATAAATGTCCATCTCGGTCATATGTGACTGAGATCCCACCTAGCGCAACGTGATATCTTAACATGTACAAGTCGGGATGAATTTTATTTGCATTGATTAACAAGAGCATGCAGGAATTCTCTCTCAGCTGGGTCTCCCGGTTAGCTGCCTTCCTATGAACAGGCCTTTAATTGGGCATAGATAATCATAATTACAAAAACGTACGCATGCTCACATCACATTAAAAGATGTCGATCAAAAGGTGACACATGTGCATTCAAAGAAGGTATTTTTAATGGTCACGCATACTGACAGGCACGTTACGGAAGTATTCGATCACGGAATGATATGGTGAGTAATGTGAAACCACAAATAAATTACCGTCAAGTTTACCAGTGTTCGAATAACTCGTACTATGATACCATGAAAAGGGCATCAGGCAACAAACTACCCGTAATGATTATACTATAAACTATTCTTTTTTTTTACTGTTAATTACGGAACTCCGTCGGTTACGGAACTCCATCGGAACTCCAACAGAAATTAATATAGTTTACGGTTTTACAAATCTTCGTGCAGTACGTGCATAACGATTTTTTCGTAAACTATCAATGGTGCGTACCTTCGATGGTAATGTTATGCCTTCCTCTATAGTCGTCTTTCCATAACGAGCTCTGTTAACAATCCTAAGACGCAAGATTCTTTCAGCAATATACAAACCACCTGGTACAATAAACCATTCCCAAAAGTTAGGAGCATGGAATATAAGCAGCGCCCACCAAACGATATATAAATGATGAGTATAGTAAAAAAGCTAAAAAATTGAAAAACAGTTAAGTCAGCGTATTAAAGTGCAAAAGGCAGAACCAGTAGGCAATTTAAGGAAATAAATAATCGGACTAACTCGAAAAAGCAAAAACATCTTTAATTTAAATCCAAGGTATCAAACAAGACGTAAATTTAAATGGTTATATTATCGAAGCTTTCGTTGGTAGGGATGCAACTACCTTAAAAATATAAGGAGAATTTCGACGTTTCGAGCGAAAGCCCTTCGTCTGGAGTAACTAGCTGGGGTGCGAAAAATACACGAGCTTTTATACTAAGAATATCAAAGCAATCACGTGATAAAAAATTGACCAATCAGATGAATTTATTCAAAACAAAGTATCAACAAAAAATTGCAGAATATATTAATACAAATATACAGAAAACTACAGCAAATACAACAACATCTATGAAACAAGTATGAAATAATACATTTTGTGTATGCTTGGTGTTATGTACTCATATGAATATGATGTTTGCGGTATTATTCTGAAAAGTTTGCCTGACCACGTTGGGAATCGAACCCGCGACCTTTGGGATACTACTACAATGCTCTACCAAATGAGCTACGAGGTGAAGTCAGTTTGAGTTGGTGATATTTCGGACAGGGCCTCTTTTAATTAAGGATGTGTAACTGCTGGCAGAATCTATAAAATCACAGATTTTGCCTTGGGAACCCGGCAAGGAAACGTGCCTTTCTGTGACGATGAATCCTGTGATAAGGAGTTATGAACTGGGGTTTCACGGATACTTTTGCTGTGTCGAAATGAGACTAAGGAGTAATTGGAGAAAATAGAAGATGATTTGGGGTTGTTTTTCAAAATATGGAAATTCTTCATGGAACATCTGTTACTTTGAAATTGAAAGGATGATAAGTTAATACTATGGGGATGTTATCGTTACCTGTGGCATTGGACACAGGATCTTTGAGGGTTTCAGAACGGGGAATTTTGGAGGTCTTCAAAAAGGCAGTGTTTACTAGAGAGGTAGGACAGACACGCTGGAAAAAGTTTCTCATTTCCAGACTTTTCGCTTGGAAGTCCACCTCTTCACTGCAAATGCGGCAAAGGAACTGACAGAAAGGAATCGACCTTTTGGTGTAGCTGGAGTGGGAAGACGAAAATAGAAGATAGCTATGGAAGTCAGTATGCTTGCAGAACACAGAAGTAACTTTTTTGTTGTGACAAGACAGTCATCTATGTACCTTTCAAGGTAATCAGGAATGGGATTAGCATATTGTTCGAAGATCTACTTTTTCCACAAAACCAACAAACAAATAGACCTTTCCCCTTATGAGTGAAATTTTGATCTAGATATGCCTGGACAAAAATTCATCACAGCTTGAAAGAGCATCACAAAATTAGTAATATTCCGAAGTTTCATTACAAAATGTTGTAAAATGTTGTATAAAAAATATATTTTCAGTATATTTGTATTACGTGCGGAAATTGTTACCATTTTCGGCTCAAAAATGATAACAACTTCCGCACGTAATACAAACATACTGAAAATATGCAAATTTCGCAATTAAGTCTATATTTTCTGTGTTTTACAACATTTCGTAACCAAATTTTGCAATTTTACTGATTTTAATAAGTTCTTTACGGGAATTTACATTTTTTTTGCCTAAATCAAAAATTAGTCTAACATGCAAGTTGTCTATTAAACCATCATGATCCGGAATTAAGATTTTGACATCCATGCCGAAGAGGAATTTGTGAGTGGCATGAAAATAAATATTGTGAAAGATTTGGAGAGCATATGGTATCCTTGGTATAGGATGGTGTCTAAGTGACTAGTGGCCTAACAAAGAGTTGACTTTAGAGGCTTTGCTCGCGTGGAGATACGGATAAAGTCTATAATTCTTTGCTCGCTTCGAGAAACGAGGAAAATCTACAATTTTTTCGATCCAATTACGGAATAAATACGAGACCGAGAAGTAGGCTACATCCATTCAACAACTACTCGCCCACATTTTCCAAACATTCTTTTAACATGAAGTATTTGCAAATTGGCCAACACTGAACGCAGCCTCGTGTTGTGCGTCAAGTGTTGCCACGGCAGCACGATAATTTTAATTTTTTTTATCTTCTTAATATTTTTTGTAGAAAATGACAAATTCAAAATTGTTTGAAAAATTAGTACTTTTAGCTATACAACAATGAGTCCCCGAAATAAATACACAACTGTAGTATTGATATGTTTTCTTGCATCATGTCAGCATTGATTTAATGTAAATTCAACCTGAAACGGTAGGAAATTCAACTAAACTTTTTTGTTAATAAACTGTTAACTTAATAAAATAGAAATTTCAGTTTGGCCTTCAAATCAAATTTCGTTTGTATTTAGTTTTTTTTCTTAATTTAATTAAATTAATAGTTTAACAGGATAGTTGCATGAAATTGACAGCTACATTGAAAAGGGCAGCGGTGCATATTGTTACCAACAAAAATAAAGCAATAAAATTCACAAACATTAAACATTCAAACTAAACTTGCCCTATATTTCACAATATCCCATAGAAAATCAATAATTATTCTTCTAATCTTCTTAATATTTCTTCAAAGAACAATTGCGTGAAAGCTCAGTGTATGCAACTATTTTCCAAATATATGGTTTTGAAAATTGAAATCTTGTGGCTTATTCCACTCTTGGAAAACAGCCATATTTTTTAGATCAGTGAGCAAGATCACCCATACATTATGACCCATGGCACCATGAAACAGCCGTGCACCAGCGATCATTGATGAACTTTTCAATCAGCTTGTAAATAGCCATGCGGGAATTAGCACCCTGGGCCCGGCTATTATCGTACTGAACGGCGCTGACCTGCCGTTGGCTCGTGGAATATTTAGCGTGTGAAGATTAGAAGTAAAAGTAAAGATTCAGCTTTTTCCTTACTTCGAATAAACCTCGTTTTCTGACTGATGGTTGTGAAAGGATGCACATAACAACAAGAATAATCAATAATAATACTCCAGTGATCCCAGCTGATCCGTTCACCCATCCTTCTGGTGTTCTCGTCGTGAACATGTACTCCCAAACTTCGAACTTGGGTGGATCAGTTGTAACTAGAAAATAAATACGCATGACTTATCAAAAGTCATTTTTAATTTCTTCAGTGAGCAACTAACTTCAAAAATGCATACAGTCTTTATTACATTGTAATTTGGCACGGCTTAGGAATACGACTACAGAACAACTACGTTTTCCCGATGATACCGATAACCCCCAACTGCGTTTTCCCAATAATACCGATATAGCCCCCAACGCAATTCATCCAAACACAACAAGACACGACACGACAGTAAAAGAAAATATATTATATAACTAGAAAATACATGCCTGCAGAAACCCTCGTAAAACGATTATTTTTTAAGAATATTCTTACAAATGAAAAATCGCCTAAAAATATCACTTTTAATTACAAAATTATCAATTATATATATATATATATATATATATATATATATATATATATATATATATATATATATATATATATATATATATATATATATATATATATTATTATTATACGTAATATAAGCTTCAATTTAAAGTAAAATTCAACCACAAACGCTTCGCAAAACGTTTTAAAGTGTTCTTTATAAAACTAAACTGCCTAACTGCCTTTAATTAAATGGCTTTAGCGATAAACTTTGAGTTTACAATAAAATGATTTCAAATTCTCGCATGCAAATAACTTCGCTTTCTTTTTTATTGAAAAAATTCATTATAATAAAAAAGGATATCAATATTAAAGATACACTGAAATTATATGCTGTCTTGTTTAGTTGTTTCATATACGCGAAGACCGTCGGGTTTTAAAGCAATTATAAAATCAATATTTAAAATAAATTTACCTTCGTTAACGTCGGTTCCCTTCTTTTAGCCGATTCTTTCGCCCTTCCTTTCCGAGAAAGCTTTTGAAATTTACAAAATCTTGCAAAAATGCGAGCAAAAATGAAATATATTTGCAAGAAATTTATCAATCATCAAATCATTCAATCAAGAAATGTTCAAATGTTTGCCATTTCGCTGTCGTCATGCAGTCGTTATAATGCAAACTTTAAATTGGACCAATCAGTGTCCGCTATTCATGAGAGTCCGCCATATTTTTGAGATCAGTGAGGATGACCATCCATCGTTGGTGACCCACGCTCGCGATAATTGATGAACTTCAGACTTCGCTAATGCTTTCGTTTCCCCGGGTCTAAATAGCCGGGGGAATTAGTACCCTCGCACGGCTCTTCGCGCCGTCGGTTCGGGGATAACTACAGTGAAACACCGCGCAATTCGATTGGTCAATACAGTGTAATACAGTACAATTCATTATGATACTAGACACCTGCATGGTGATTTATGTCCTAAATGATTTGTATCCTAAATTTCAAACTGGACGTTATTTCAAGGCATTGTCGTCAGTTTCACCTAGCAACCTGCTTGAATAAAATTTCTTCCAGTCCTCATGCATGCATTTTTCAGATTTGCAACATTACGTCGAAGTCTGAGAATGGTATATAGAGTTTCTTTGTTAACAACGGGAAGCTTAAAACAACATGCAAAATTTAAACACTTACTGTATCGGCCGAGATGACCAATGAAATGCAGAACTGATTGCAAAAGGATGACTGTGGCGACACATTTGTGGAAAATAATGTGTTGGTCGATAGGGAAGAATTTTCCAGATCTTGTTGATCTCAGCCAGGTCAGAAGACCTTTCATCATTAGCACCAAAATAAACATGGAGTTGAAATTGAGACACATGCCATTAATCCTAGCCAATATAATCCATCCACCTTGGTGACGTCTCTCAATACCAACCCAAATACATAGGGCGGCATTTAGCAAGACGTAGAGCGTTACGAAGAACACCTTGATTGGATTTTTCTTGATATATTCCCATCGAAGACATTTTGGAACGTAACTTGATATAGTTTTATTCTTTTTAGAAATTGGAGGTTTAAGCAAATGAGCAGCACTAAATTAAATTATTAAACAACAATTAATACGACCATGTTCAAAATACTAAATACACCTGTAATGTGGATACTCCACGGAAAACGCTTATTTTTTCGCAAAGATTTCGAATCGGAAGCAATGACATGCATGACAAGACATAATGAACATAATGTATTTTCTAATTTGCATATAATTTTAAAAGATGGCTGCAACTTTAAATAATGTAGTCGATTATAAAACGCAAGGTTGTAATTAAAATCCCGTATTCTGAACACTTGCCGAGCTCGCTGGTTGCCAAACATATACTCATTTGTCGAGAAATTCAGTGCAATATTGGCCTGATTTAAGTTACTATATGTCATCCTGCTTTTTCTATATTGGTACATAGGTGAATTGTCACTACATCTTTTATTAGAGACATTTATTTATTCGGAGCAGTAAAAGAACCAAAGAAGGTAAAATTCTTTGCAAAGTTCAGGATTATGTATTGTTTTTCTCAGACACTTTGCCGTTTAAGGCTTCCACAGTGATTAGAGTAATCTAGATAATAAAATCATCCTCTATAATCTATATAGAGAGGCATATAATTATAGGTAATGTTAACACGCTAAGGCCCGTTTCATACGCCGTACTTCACATGTGCCGAATACATTAAAGACAATAGATAATGAGCTGAAATGCCTCATTATCTATTGTTTTTAATGTATTCGGCACATGTGAAGTACGGCGTATGAAACGGGCCTAAGAGTCAATATATAGTAGATAATAACAGCTATTATTATAAAGCCATCATGGGATATCCCATGATTGCTTTTATCTAAAACAGTTAATTACAGCAAGTAGTTATTCTAAAACCTGTATGGACTATTTACGATAAAACCTACAAAAAATTAGCATAAAAATTAGCATAGGCATGTGTTCCTATGTCTGCAGCGGTGTGAAATTAGTTCTCATCTTTTGCTCAATAAAAATCTATCTTCACTTAATATACAAAGTTTTTCTGCAAGGCATAGACTGCACAACGTGTGTGTTAATTGACTATATTTATATAACGCGATAGTTTGTCTCAGATTCTTTTAGCTTCCCAATGGCAGTGTATTTTGAGTCAGTCAAATTTAGCAAATTTTCTCCGACTCGTGCGAGCTCATATTGTCAGCAGATATCTCGCAAAAATATCAGCTCTGTGTAAAACGCAGCTTTCAATTTTTCATCGGACTTCTGCTGGAAATATGAGCCTGCTGTACTGGGACGAAAATTGCTGAATATTACCAGCGTGGAGGGCTGTTGATGTTGAAACTTTTTTGTCATTGAAAACGGCTTAATTGTGGTTGCTGTGTCTGCAATGAAATGCATTTTCGATCATACCAATGTATTCTTTCTTTACTTGGTTTTCGGTAGTGACCGTTTCCTTATAAATGATGTTGTTTGTACTGGATTTATAATTTAGTTGGATCCTATGAACAGACAAGTACCATTTTAAGCTTTGTGAAATTGACAAATTTTGTTATGTTTTTGTTCGAATTCAGTCAGAGATCTCGCGTTCCCTTGAACAGATTGCTAAGCCAATCTGAATTAATTGCCTCTGGTTATAGCAAGAACATTTAATAGTGAATATGTTCAGTTCAGTTCTGTATTCTAATATTTAAATTTTTTTAAAAGTATTTTGGTTCAGATATTTTTATTTGTATAGATAATAGCATAGTTTCGAGTGCAATTTGGATATAACATACACGAGTTAGTTTTTCAAGGACCTCAAAATAGCACGAGTCCGAAGGACGAGTGCTATTCAGTTGAGGTCTTTGAAAAACTCACGAGTGCATGTTTATCCAAATTTCACGAGAAAGCATGCTATTACTTATTAATAATTTACATAAAAATGTGCGAGACAATTGTAGTTTTAACTTAGCCTACGTTTTTTTTACGTAACTTACCTTGTTTTGTTAGAATAAGTTATATCACATTATACAACGCTAACAGCTTGAAAATTCCACTCAACTATCTAAGTTTTGTTAGTCTTGTTTAAGGTAAAGGCTTTTCCATGTAAAAAGGATAAAAGCTATATTTTCCAACCGAAATCAACGTTTACTTTATGTAGCGAGGCGCCGTGTTCGTTTTATTCTGAAGCAATCTGTGACCGTTACTTCTTTAAACTAACCTGCTTTAAACTGATTGATTGATTTTATGAACGCATTGTTTTTCCACCGATCAGATCAGTTTGTTACAGATTTCTGCACTGTGATTACAGAAAATTACACTGTGATTACAAAAAATTGCACTGTGATTACAGAAAATTGCACTGTAGGCCGTGGGCTGTTGTGCGAAAAAGTGCCTAGAAAAGCAATTTCGTGGCACCCCCCTGGGAAATAGATTTTCTGTGCTTCAATTCGTAGAACCATAGATGCTTAATTACCACAAAAAGTTCCCAAGCAAAAAACTTGCCCAACACCGAGAAAATGGGTGATCAGTGATTATCCTCTATTAAATTGTATTACAGCAAGAAAATGTGGAATTTTGTATTCAATTACAACAAAAATGACTTGCATCATCAGAAAGATTACAAAAACCTACATATAAGATATTTAAACAGTTTTTTTATATCTAAAATTGTTTTCGAGTTATACGCTGTCAAAAACGCGTTTTTGACCTAGTACCCAGTCCTTATTGCGACATTTTGGTCCAATTTTTACATTTAAAATAGCAATAACTCAAAGACTATTTGAAAAATCAAAAAACTGTTTAAAAGTCTTATATGCGGTTTTTTGTACGTTTTCCGATGATGCAACTCAATTGAATTATAAAATTTCCCAATTTTTGCTGTAATACAATTTAATAGAGGATAATATCATTGATCACCCATTTTCTCGGTATTGGGCAACTTTTTGTTTGGGAACTTTTTTTGGTAGTGATGTACCTATATGCCTTTCAAATCAACCCCAAACCAAGTATTTCCCACATGGGTGCCACGAAGCGAAATAATTTTGGCCAACAGCGCACGGCCTACTGCTGTTTGGAATGAACTGCACTGAAATTAAATCAACCAATCACAGTCGAGTAATATTTTTATGTATATAATAGTACTAATAACTATACACAATTTTGTATTTTGGCTCTGCTTTAGTATAACCCGGCGTACTTAATCGATGAAATCCGATCGTTGGAAATCCATTGGATTAATCGATGGTAATCGATATTAATGGCTTAATTGATTGAAATGAATTGAATTGAAAGCTTTATTTCAAGAGGGTGACTGAATTACTGACCCTCATTGATGTGGATTGAAATTGATCAATCGAAGACCAATCGATAGTCACAAAATTTATGGCCAATTATATCGATTATTATCGATACTCATTGATTTTGGTCGGTATTTATCGATTGTTTTCGGCGAGTGTATTGCTTGCAAAAAGTAAATCTGTTCGCGTTTTTTAACGACACACATGTATTTGATCTGTATAGCGAGCTAAAATCCTAATTTAATCCATTGTTACTGAATTCCGTTCACATTCGTTTTGTTACGACATTAAAGTACGTATTAATTAAGTTACGGCGTTACCTGTTTGTTTGCATGTATTTTAACACAGGATTTTTTCATCAATGAAACATCGATAATCAATCGATGAAAGGTCACAGCAAAACAAGCCATCGATTAGTTATCAATTTCCTATATCAATCGATTAATAAGTATTGATTGATATCGATATTCATCGATTATCGATTTCATCGATTAAATTACGCCGGGACTCGGGAGTATAAACGGTTTTTTTGGGTTTTTAACATGTATTGATCAACTATGGATGCATTTTATACTTTATTTATAAAATATACTAGAAAATACATGTGCATGCAGCAACCCCTCGCCTTTCTTAACCGAGTTGAAGCAGTGGCGCCGCCAGCTCGATAATTGGGGAGGGGGGTATTCATATATTCGTGTTCTGCATTTATTAATTCCTTTGAAATCGTTTGTTTTTATGGTCTGTGAACACGAATATATGAATACATTCGCCCCTCCTAATTATCGAGCTGGCGGCGCCACTGAGTTGAAGTATAAAAACTCCACATAAAGTATTAGGACCATTATAAACAAACATAAAAACACAACTGATGCGCTAGCTTACCAGTGAACAATACTGACATTCGCTGCAATTTCATGCATGTATGTACCAGCTTACTTTAAAACACATTATTTTTCGTGAACTACCGAGTTACGAATGGCTGAAACATTAACCGCAGATATGAATAAAATCTACACTTACCCAAACCGGCACAACAACGATTAAATTATTAAAAACATCAACACCAAAACATCAAAACAATTATTAGAAACTTTGTTTCACGGTTGAACAGCCATTAATACATGAAAGTGTAGGCTTATTTCCTGTTAAAATCGAAAAAGCCGTTTTTACGAAATTTAAAGCAAACAAATTGATGTGAATGTGTGAAACAGTAAAATGCGTCCTTTCAAAATGAAAAATAGGTACGCTAAGCGTACATGTATCTGCTCATGGTGATTGCATTGTTGTCAAGGAGTTCAATCAATACTTAGTAGCTTGTATAAATATTAAGAGACTGATCATTGAGTCCCATCATGCAGCCACAACCTTGTACCCAGTGCTTCTGTGGTAGGAGGTTGCATATCAGTCACGGCCTATCGCCCAGAAAATTAGGAAACGTAAAAAATGCAGGTTAAGAAACAATGGGAAAATGCAAAATTAATAGTGCTAAATAATAAAGCCTCCATGGAAACGGCAGCTGATTTTTTTATTCCATCCCAAATAAAACAAAAGTTATTCTTATTCGCACAAGCGAAGTCTAAATTTTATCAAATATCGCGGACGCATGGTGTATGGGTGGTCATCTCACTCATCTCAAAATATGGCTGTTTGCCAGGAGTGAAGAAGGGAAAAATATAAGAAATACATGTAAGAAAGCTTGGAAAATCATTTCTCATAACAAATTGTAAACATGCACTCCAAAACCTGGGAGGACCCGTACCCCCGCGCCCCCCCC